AGAGGCCATTGGATCCCCTGAAACTGGAGTTATAGACGGTTGTTAGCTACCACGTGGGTGCTGGGATTCGAACCCAGATCTTCTGCAAGAACAACCAGTGTTCTTAACCACTGAGCCATCTCTCCAGCCCCTCTTCTTCATTTTTTTGAGATGGGGTATCATGTAGTCTAGGCTGGCCTTGAACTATAGCTCTTCCTGCCTCCACCTCTCAAGTGCTGGAATTGCAGATATGTAATTTTCCCTCATTCCCTAATACATGTACTTGAATTGATGTCTTTTTTCATTATTTAAAAAAAAAATTTATGCCAGGCATGGTGGCACATGCCTTTAATCCCAGAACTTGGGAATCAGAAGCAAGTGGATCTCTGTAAGTTCAAGGCCAGTCTGGTCTCCATAGAAAATCCAGATCAGCTGGGGCTACTGGGAGACCCTGTCTCAAAAAGACAAAAAGAAAAAAAATATCTTTATGTGTATGAATGTTTTGTCTGCATGTATGTAAGTGCATCACATTTATACAGTGTTTGCAAAAGCCAAAAGATTGGAACTAGAATTGCAGGTGGATATTAGCTGCCATGTGCGTGCTAGGAACCGAACCCAGGTCTTCTGTAAGAGCAGCCAGTACTGAGCCCATCTCTCCAGCCCTTGAATTGATATATTGATCAATGAATGTTCTAGTACTCAACTTGCTTAGAGCTCTTTTAAAGAGCTCCATATTCTTATAACCTTTGAAACAGTAGTGAAAGAGCCATGTCTTCCTTTTAAAGCCCCCCCCCCCAATTTTGGATATGTTTTCAAGAGGGTTGGAACTTCTGAAACCATCCATGGAACTCACAGCTTGTGCCCCTCTTGTCCCTCATTTCAAGTTACCATGCTGTAGATTCCCAGTATGTGTCTGGTCATCACAAGCCTCAAGAGTAGGGCTGGGTCTGACTCACCTGTATAGGTTTCCAGGAACTAGCACTGAGTAAAAGTCATTTTCTTGGATACAGTTATTACCGTGTGGCTCAGTAGTTAGGCTGCAGTGGTCATTCCTACAAAACTCTGGGGATAGGGCTCCCTTTTCTGCACTTTAACAAGCCTCCCCCCCCCAGGATGTGCACTCAGCATGTCATGCTCTTCAGTAATGTCCTCCACATGCGAACATTGGCTGAAACCTACTCACCTAGGGAAGTCTCTTAAACCCACTAGCAGAAAAAAGTAATAAAACATTTACTGCGTTCTTACTGTATGCAGGCAATATGCAAAGTACATTACTTCATATAATTTTCAATACTATAAACGAGTACTATTATTCCCATTTTACAGATGAATTAACTGAAGCTGAAGTGGCCTATCCACAGTCACCTCCTGGTAACCTGCAGAATTGCAATTTGATCCCAGATCCATCTGATTGCACCATTTAGACCCTGAACCATTGCTCATTCGCTCTCTTGGTTAATGAGCATCCATCAAAATGTAAATGTTGATTATTTTGTGTTCAAAATTCATAAAAATGTTTTAAAAGGAAGGTGATTTGATTAAATATTTTCAGTTCTTCCCCTACCCTCAAATCAGTTTTTGTTCCCAAGAACTAACTACATACACTAAGCTCCTGAATTTTAAGGTCAAGTACAGGTTGCTTAAAAGCTTCCTGGCCACATGGGGGCAGCACTAGGTGGTGCCCGTGCTCTTTGGGAGGAAGCTAGCTGGCATCACTGTGGCGCACAGGCTCTCCACACCCTTTTTCTTTGACCACATTGAATGGCGATGAAGCTTTTCAGATCAGAAACTAAACAACTACAGGGCTGTGCAAGGAAAGTGATTTTAAATAAATTAATGACAATGATGACATAGTTTGAGGTTTTGTTCCTTTTCATCAGCATGACAGAATGATATTCTGAATGTGCTGTGGTAGGTTGAGTAATTCCTCTTTGTTAGGCAAGAAAAGGATATCATTAGGTTTTACTGAGCTTCTTTGATTGAAATCCTTGTGTTCTTGTGCTCAAGGGACAAAGGACAGCTGGTATTCTTTTATCTTCCTTGTTGCTAATGAACTAATTATTCACAGGTTGGAGGAGTACATTGTAGGCAGCTAAAAACAGTAGGAAAACGTGCTCCTGGCTTCTGGTTTTAAGAGCCTGTGGAATACTGGTGTCTTACAACACCCCCTACAGGGTCCTCAGTTCCTGTCAACCCCAAACCCCATTTCTACTTGAGCATATCACTGTGCCCTTGTCCAACCCTCAGTATTCATGCCAATGGCTAAATTCACTAAGATTTTTACCAAGGTGAATTTTATTTACTGTCCAACCCAGAACACTAAAAGTGACTGCTCTTAATTTTACCCAGATAACAAGCATAAACCAGTTACTTGTCATTGGAGAAAACTGGGATCCTGCCCCTTTGGGCAGTGCCTCTGTGTCACTGTTGTGTTTGTTCTCTCATTCAGCAACTGTTCCTTGAGTACTTTCTGTGTGCTGAGTTCTTGATCTGTATTGTATTTTCTTCTCACCAAAACCCTGTGAGGTTAATGCTGTCCTTAACATTGCCATTTTTACATACAGAGGGAGGGAGGGAGGAAGCTTAAGGATGAAGTAAATTCCAAAGAAACAATACAGAGAGAGGAGAGAGAGAGAGAGAGAGAGAGAGAGAGAGAGAGAGAGAGAGAGAGAGAACACATGACTTGCCCAAGGTCAAAGTAAAACATCAAACGTGAAATAGAAGTAGGACTGGGCTCAGTTCCAGACTATCCTTGCTCTTGAGCCGTTTACACTCAAAATAGTGAAAATAGTGGTGTCATTGACTATTTGAAAACCTTCTTTGTGGACCTAACCCCATCAGACATTGCCCCTCTGATAGAATTCTCTGGCACATTGCAGTGATTAAGAGGGACTGGGGAGATGGCTCAGTCAGTAAAGTGCTTGCTATACATGTGTGGAGGACCCACACACAAACAGTAGAACCAGAAGCCAGACCACCTTTGAATCCCAAGCACTTCACTTACCAACCCTGTGCCTCATTCAGTTTCCCCATCTATCAAATGAGTGCAGTAACTCAGTATCATCTCCGAGGGTTCAGGAGTGAATAAATGAGTTAACCTTGGAACTGAGAACAGTCCCCTTATGTGCTGTGTCAGATGACACAGCCATGCCAATTCCTGCTATTAAAGTGGCTTGAGTAAAGGCTGACTGCAAGTTGACCTGAGTGTTGATCCCCAGATCCCATGTAAAGGTGGAAAGGGAGAACTAACTCCATAAAGTCATCCTCTCATCTCCACAGGTATGCCTTGGCATGTGTACTCATATATATCAGGCACACACACATGCATGCACACACACAATAAATAAATAAATAAATAAATAAATAAATAAATAAATAAATAAATAAATAAATAAAAAGTGGGTGCAGTGTATGTAAATGTTTTCCACATCAGGACTTCAGTTCTTTTGAAGCTGGGAGGAAAGTGACAAGCAGATGAGGTCATAGACTGTCACACTGTGATTTTACTAATGAGGGCCTATGTTGGAAACCAGTGGTTGAGAGGCCAGCAGGCTTCCTTGGCTCCCTGCAGAAATATTGAGGTCTGGCTGCCTATGAGCTCAGACCCAGGAAGTGAGTTTTAATAATCAATGTTTGTTGTGTACAGCTAGGCATTTCTGACTAGTCATGTGGAGAAACAGGGTTTGGGTCTTGGGGCTGATGAAGCAAGAGCTGCTGGAGTGGCAGGCTAACCAGTAGAGAGGTGTCTAAGTTGCTAGCCAGGAGTGGCCCTCTCCAGGAAAGGCAGCCATCATGCCCATGCCCACCTCTTCCCCTCAGCTTTCCTGCCACTCATACTCACATGCAGAGTAACATCAGTGGCTCAGCCATAGCTTTTCCCCAGGAGACGGGCAGCCAAGTGGGTTTTGCAGTCTCTGCTGTGGCCTTCTTTTGGGGGCTTATTTATAATAGACATTGCTCATGTTCTGTCTGCATGGTGGCAAACAGAGGCCTTTTAAGTAGCCTTGCCCTCTAAGCTGGAAGCATCTACCTGTCATGTGCATAATGGGCTGCTTCTGTGTTTAGCATTTTGTTGGGTTTTCCCCCATAAGTGTGATGAGCAAGTTAGGAGGGGTATGCTCAGGCTGATCATAGTGGCTGGGGTGGAGAAGGTTGGACCAGCATTGTGTTAGGCACATTGGGATAGATTGCCACATACGCTTTAAAGTAGAAACTTCATAAGTTGCTCTTTGAAGCCAATTTCTTGGCTCCCAAGGAAGAGGGTGGCTGCCTGTCTGCAACACATGGCCCTGGAAAGGGGTCTCTTCAACTGATATCCAGCTTCAGGGTGAACTTGGGATACAGGGAGGGATGAGGGAACATAGTTCAGACCATCTGGGCACAGCCCTGGTGATCAAGAACATGGCCCACGTTGTACATTGCGTTTCATACATCTTTGGACTGTTGACTTATTAAAGTAAGCACATGATGATTTTTAAATTAAAAAATAAAGGAAACTATTGAATACCAGAATGTAAAAAGGAAGACAGGGCATTATAAATTTAAAAAGCTCATATAGACAAATACATAGGATTTGTGATTAAAAGCTATCTCACGAGACTGGAGAGATGGCTTAGTGGTTAAGAACACTGGCTGCTCTTGCAGAGGACCTGAGTTCAGTTCCCAGCATCCACATGGCAGCTAATAACTGTCTGAAACTCCAGTTCCAGGGGATCTGACACCCTCTTCTGCCTCCTTGGACATTGCACAGCACAGGTGCATTTACATATATGCAAACAATATGTTCATATATTTTATGTGTATGCGTGTTTTGCCTGCATGTATGTAAGTAATAATGCGTTCATATATTTTTAAAAAAGATACCTCATAACTGTGTCTTCTACAGGTATTTCAGGTTCAGTGCTGACGATTGCTGTGACGCGGCACTGAGTACACTCTGTAGTTGCCATGTAGTTCCTTATCACCTGGTACAGGTTGACCCAGCAGTGAGTCACTTTTTGTCCTCTGACTTTGTCTTCCAGTGTTTTGCTGTGCGCTCTCTAGGCTGGGTAGAGATGGCAGAGGAGGATCTCGCCCCTGGGAAAAGCAGCGTTGCTGTCAACAACTGCATTAGACAGCTTTCCTACTGCAAAAATGACATCCGAGACACAGTCGGCATTTGGGGAGAGGTAAGTCACACGTGGAACCGACCAGTGGCTCCTTTCCTGCTGTGCACTGTTAAACCCAGGCTCCAGGAGACCTGGTTGTGAGGGCTTTGATGTGTTTGCCAATGACAATTCCTCAAAAGGACAAATACTGTTGGCATTGTGCACCCAGGTGGCACCCCATTAACTCTGCCACATGCTGCTCAGGACCGTGGCCCTGGGAGAAAGCATTTCTCAATGGCTAAATGAATTTCTCTGGTCCTCAAATCCTCAAAGATCCATCAGTGACCTTTCACAGCTCAACAGCCTTCCAAGTTTTGCACACACAGTGAATGTCCATCTATTATGAACAGTTTTCTGAGAAGACATGGCTTTCTCAGAGTTTCATGTGACTCCCACACCTGCACACATGAACATCAGTGCCCTACTCTAAGAGGTTTATACTTCCTTTACAGTCTGACAGTCAACACTGCATATGACTTGTAGAAGTGATGCTGTATTAGTTACTCTTTTGTTGCTGTGATAAAATACCATGACCAAGAGCAGCTTATGGAAGAGTCTATTGTGGCTTATGGTACCAGAAAGTTAAGAGTCCACCATGGCAGGAGGCATGGCAACAAGCAGCAGGCATGGTGGCAGGGGCAGGAAGCTGAGAGATCACGTTACCACATGAGAAGCAGAGAGAGAGAATTAGAAGTGGGCAAGGCTATAAACACTCAAAGCCCACCCCGAGTGATGTACTTCCTCCACCAAGCCTGTACCATCTTCCCAAACAGCACCACCAGCTGAGGACCATTATTCAAATATCTGAGCCAGCAAGGGACATTTCTCATTTAAACCATCGCAGCTGCCTCCATATCATTTCACTTTTTTAACAAAGTGATTCTATTGTGAAATGTTAGTTGAAATCATTTCAGAAAAGAAAGTAGTAAGTAAATATACCAGATTTGCATAAAAATCACATCAGATATGAGAAGCCATATTTAGAACATATCAGTAGCCTCGTAGAGTCATGTTTTGTTCATGACCACTAACAGAACATGGATGAGGAAGCTGTACTTTTGGACTGGGCTGGTTGCACCTCTATTGTCATTTTCTCCCAGCAGAACGTCATGATGGGCTGCAGATTCATAAGCCTTCCCATGGTAGAATCTATCCCAAGCTTCCCCAAGGTAGAGCCTTCAAATGAAGCTGGATGTCATTGCTAACCAGACTTTCAAATCCTGGGTATGGAGAAAGAGGGGGAAGTATTTTCTCCAATCTAAGAAAAGCCTTGTTCAGCACCCTCTCACTGCACCACCTCCCACTTTCTATCCATTTGGCCCAGGACCGAATTATCCACCTGTCTTTACATTTTTTTTACAGTCAAAATACTATCTTTCCAAATTCCTGCTAGGATTTACAGGAAAGTATGCTGTGGTTCACATGGACAGACGGGAAAGTGGAGGAGAGGGACATGGCCATGGGCCAGGGAAGCCAAAGGGATCCTTGAGAGGTATAGCCTGAGGAATGGGGAAAGGGGAACTGTCAAAGGTTGAGGGGCTTAGAGTTCAAGAAAGAAGATTCTTCAGGGCACCCACATTAGCCTTTTGTCTTAAAGATTCAGAAGTATAAATAATTAAAGATAGACTGGCTAGAAAATGGCAGATATGTCAGAGGACTCTAGAGGAGAGATAATTTGGGAGTGGGAAAGATGTGTAAATATTTTAGCATCAAAAGGATGTTGCCCTCTTAAGGCATTTGGGTCATTGAAAAGGTGTCTATTGGGTACCATAAAGGTGATGAGGATGTAAGGCCTGTATCAGGAAGACAGTATGTTTTCTCATTGATTCCCAGGGCAAAGACATGTACCTGATCCTGGAGAACGACATGCTCAGCCTGGTGGACCCCATGGACCGCACTGTGCTGCACTCTCAGCCCATCGTGAGCATCCGTGTGTGGGGCGTAGGCCGAGACAATGGCCGGTGAGTGCCAGGGCTGGTGTGCTGGATTTTATCCTAATACTGAAATGTAATTTCACAGCACTTCCCTGAATATGAAATGTCACAGAAGCTGGTTAGACATATGACAGATCAGAGTCTGTTTCTCTGCCTCCCAGGCCCTCCATGCTTCCCTTCCTCGCTTCTGTCCCTCAAACCTTCGTCAGCTCTGGTTCCTGCTTTCAGGCCTGTATATTTCTCCTGCCAGCCTGCCTCATTCTACCAACTTTCCACTCTTAATTTCTCTCTTCACTGTCTTTTTCTAATCAGTGTTAATGCTCTTGGTTGAGTCCTGACCACTTCAGCTCCTTGCTCTAATAACATTTTCTTCATAGGGGTCTTGTTCACAAGGATAAAGTCCCACACAATCATAATCACAAACCTTCAATCATTAAGTCAAAAGTGTCTGGAACTTGTGGTTGACTAAAGTTTTTGAATCTTGAAATATCTGATTATAGCTGTTAGATAAAAGGTGGCAGGATCAGAATCGCCATGGAACAGAAACAGAGAGGACTCTGGCAAAGGAAGAGTTTATTGGGGTGGCGGGGCTGGGTCTTAACTCAGGAGTGAGTAAAAACCAGCAACCTAATGACTGCAGAGGGGTAGCTTATAAAGGGAAAAGAATGCGAAAAAAGAATATTTTTCTGCTGTTTGGGGCTGTTTAGGGGCTGTTTAGGGAGGGCGTGGGGTCTGTACCTGGTGAAACTTATCAAGGAAAGCATTTACTGTAAAACATGTTTTCTACAATTACAGGGTTCCGGGAACCCATTGCGGCTACAGGGCTTGGGAAACCTGTCTGTCAGCCTGTGGAGCATGCTCTGGTGATCACAATGCATTGGGTCACTAATTCCCAGAGCTGCTTTTGTCAGCTTGCAGGTGGCTGAGAGTTAGCTGACTTAGTTCCTCTTAGTGGCTTTATGGTTTCTGGGTCTGTGACCACCTGGATCTGAACCCTATCAATAGCAAAATTGCATTCCTTATGTGTATTTATGAAATTCTACTGAACTGCTGTTTTTACTTAGATGTGTTGTGAATTTTTTGTTCTCCAACATGACTGGAAACAGATGTTCTGACTTTCAAGCTCCTGTCATAGCCATAACTTAAGCAACTGTTATTACAAACATCATACTTGGCCCCCTTTATAAAGTAATTAGGCAAAGTTACATGCAGTTAACTTTTAAGAATTTGTAATCAGTTTTTGGCAATTCTTAAAATACAGGGGAATCCTCTAGTATCGTGGGTCAAGCTATCAAACAATTAGGTATTGCTTTGCTGAAAATGGACAGGAGTGTTACCCAATTTGTGGATAGGGAATAGGGACGGAGACCGCTCTGGCTTCTTCCATGCTGAACAGGGACGCAGGGTGAGGCAATTGGAGTACCCCTTCAGTAGGTCTATCTAAAAGACTCCCAAATTGCATAACTCTTATCTGTAGGGGGAAAAGAAAGTCTTTGACTGATGCATAGGAGATGTGAAGGAGAAGTAAAGGCAAGAGTAGCTAGCATTACAAGTTCTAGATAGAGAACTAGAAAAAAAGTCAGAAGAGGGCAGTTTTCAAATGTTCATATGTGAGTCCATTGGAGTGTTGCAAAGGGGGTAAAGATCACAGATGGCAAACAGATGGTTCTCCTGGTCTTGTTGTTCCATTCCTGAACATTCTGGCTTTTGGGTTTTTTAAAAATTTTGTTTCGTTGGGTTTTTTTCTGGGGATGAGTGTTTTATTTGGGTCACATGAGCCTTTCTAAGGGAGGAGGGTTGTCTTACCACAGCCCTCCTCTGAATAGTAGGCATCAGCATTTGATTGTTCTTTGATCCAGTTCCACATCCCAACCCAGAAAGGAAGGATTATGGCTAAATATTTGTCAGTCAACAAGCATTTATGCTGGAACCAGATGTGAAAAAGAATGCAGGTGTTCTCTGACTACTGATTGGATAAACCTTCCTGGGAGGGTAACATATCTTGAATAAACCTTCCTGGGAGTGTGACATGTCTCTGAGCTTTCTAACAGCGTGATCCGCACTGACAGGGGCAGGTGCTTTCGTTTGAGTGAGTAGGCAGATGATTCCTGTACACCTGTCGTTCATTCGGCAGAACTGTAGTTGCCCCCACTTCAATGGATTAATTTTACAGAGAAACTCTGAGATGACACGTGTTCATCACTGAAAACATGTAGCCTTGGTAGAGGGCTCTGGCTGTAAGCATGGTGCTTTCCTGATTTCTGTCCTCCCAGTTTGTCAACAAGACAGGAGCCAAAGTGGAGATCACTGTGTGCCTGTACAACTAGAAATGCTTCTGTGGGGTTTTTGTTTTTGTTTTTGTTTTTGTTTTTGTTTTTGTTTTTGTTTTGCACTGCTGGCTCTTGAGCCCAAGCACCCAATCGCTGGTCACATTCCCCAGCCCCACTGTGTATTTTTTTAGATTATGGAATTTATGGTATTCATTGATGTCAGTTTTCATTCTACTCCACGTCTTTAAAATAAATCCAATTGGCTAGTTCTGTAGGGGAGAAAATGATTCAAATTCTAGTTAGCAAAATTCTTCATTCTTTCTGCGCCTTATTTTCTCTTTTCTGAGAAATGAAGATCGTAACAGAAACCACAACACATGTGTATGTGCCAGTAGTATGTGTGATATCCCATCTAGCGATGAAAACGTCCACGTGGTTAATGAATGTTTACTCAGCTTTTAAAAGTAGCATACACTTAGCAGATGCAGCTAATTACATGGCTTCCTTTCCAAGTCACTGGGGAGAAGAAAGGAGTCAGACTTCTAGGGCACTTGATCACAGAAGTTAGGCATTGCAAACCATAGTGAGTTTAGTTGTCCTGCAAAGTGGACCCAACCCCCACAGAGAGCAGTGTATGTTAGATGACATTGTATCGGTTATGTTTTTAAACCATTTCCTTCTGTGTTAGCAGAAAAGTATAATTTAGAGCTGCTCTTAGGGCCCCCCACAGGCTGTCAGGACCTCAGCGAGTCCCTGTAGTTGTGGGGGTTAGAGGGGTGGTCTTTGAGCTAGATTCCTTTTGGAACAGTAAATAGAGAAGCAGGTTTGCCACTGAAATGGCCTGTTTTCTTCCCACTGGTCCCTTGAGTTTTCATTCCCTAGAAGAAGGGGCCTTTGCATTCCTGCTGTATTTTTTTGAACTTTCCTGTGCTTTTGATTCTTTTCTCCCCCCCCCCCACCAGCAGCAATTCACAAGAGCAAATTCAATTTGTAATGCTACAAAGGAAAGGGGTTTTCACTTTATGAATAAAACAGAAGTGTTTCATTTTGCTCTGGAAAACAAGCCCATTTCACATTCTCTTTTGTAACTTTCCTTGCAGAGAAAAAGGCATCTCTTGGGGGATTTCTTGATGTGATTAAAATGAATAAGAAAAGTATGTATACCAGATTCAAAGGGTACAAAACCTTCCTCAAAAATCCAGCACACCTCACTGAGCCATGTAATTTCAGAGTTTCTGGAAGTGTTTCGGGCTTAGCATTTTCTTAAGACTTTAAATTGACTTTCTTTGCTTTGAAGAATTCCTTATGCAGTAAATTGACTTTGGATGAAGAGGTGATCGGGTAGATAACAACCCCTGCCCCCCACTGTGTCCCCAAGCTGAGTTGGAGAAGCTTCTTATGAACTGGATGAGGAGCTGCAGTCACCTCGATGCCTGGGGCTCTGGCTGCTGTTCTGCTCTCCTTCAGTGGCATTTCTTCATTAGGGTATTTCTTGGAGCCCATTGGCTGTATGACTTGGCAAAGCAGGGCTGCTTCCTCCTTCATAGCCATGCCACACTTTCGCTCCTTTCGATCACAGTAAGACAAATGTCAAGGCCTCTAGAGATGGAGGCTGGTGAGGTGTTTTAGAGGCAGCCCAAGGAACACCAGTCACTGGGCAGATGACCAGAGTACCACCGCTCATCTCTCCTCTATGAGCCTGCCAGGCCACCATCCCAACAGTGGGTCAGAGAGACACGTTCTTATACCCTCAGAAGCAACTTTCTCCATTTTTGTTTTTCTGTTTTGCCTTGTCTTGTCTTTCTTGTCTTGTCTTGTTTTGTTTTGTGACAGTCTCCCTGTAGCCCCAGCTAACCTCGAACTCATTATGTATACCAGGTTGTCCTCAAACTCAGAGAAATTCACCTTCCTTGGCCTCCCAAGTGCTGAGATTAAAGGTGTGCACCACCACACCTGGCCTCTCTCCTTATTCTTTAACAGAACTATCAAACACAAACCTAATCTCAACTTAGGGGAACTTTATGGGGACTTCCCTTTTCACCAGTGACAGATGTGGACCCATCTTCTAGGTAGGGGCACCAAGATTTTGTGTCCATTGGCCAAGGGCAATAGAGTCCACTAAGCCCCCCTGTTGCCCATGAGGAAGGAAGGTGAGTGGATGGGAATGAGTTTCATATCCCATTAGTGGTATTTTTCCCATGAAGTTTTCATGTGGTGGACCATGGAGGATTAATCATCTACGATACTGATCATAAAAGGGTTTAGAGTTATGTGGGAGACTGTGCTAAACCACGTGATGTACCTGCTCACACTCTGGACCCTCCCTCTCAGAGACTTTGCTTTGCAATCTTTACTAAAATCCTTTCTGTGTTAGTCACTTTTGTGTTACTGTAATAAAATGCCTCAGATAATCAATTTTTTTAAAGGGAAAGTTTTAAAGCATGGTGCTTTTAATCCTAGCACTTGGGAGGCAGAAGCAGATGGATCTCTGTGCGTTCAAGGCGAGCCTGGTCTGTATAACACGTTCTAGGCCAACCAGAACTACATAGTGAGACTCTGCCTCAAACAAAACAAAGAAAGAAAGAAAAAGGAAAGGTTTATTTTTGCTCTCAGTTTGAGGGCTTTGGGTCCATGTTCAGTCCGCACCATAGCTTCTGGGACGGTGGCAAGCCAGTATTACATCTTGCCAGGAACATGTAGTAGAGGGAGCTGTTCCCCTCATCATGACTGAAAAGCCAAAGAGTGAAAGAAATGGGG